TAAATCAGAGAATTCAAAAGGAGCCCTGCCTGCAGATCAGAGTCCGCCAAAACCCGGACACCAGGCCCCACAGCGGGGCCAGGACTCTGTTCTCTAGCCTCGTTCCCATCCCAGATCACAGTGCTCCTGTCCCCAGGGTGTCTTCCCCTTGGTGGGATCAGAGAGCTGGCGGGGGCTCTGCTGCTTACCGTTTGTCTTCCGGAAAGCATCCAGGAGAAAGCCCGCCTCCTCTTGGATGCGCTCCTCGATGCCACGCTTGCCTACGCCGAAGTCCCGCAGGGTGGCGATGGAGAAACGCCGCAGCTGCTTGGCGCGCTCGCCGCTGCTGAAGGCTACCCCTGGGGCGGGAGGAGGGGGGGAGTCAGAGGGGCGTGGCTGGCCACTGGCCACTGACCACCCCTGAGCTGCTCCCGAAGGAGAGAAAGATGCACAGAAAGCGCCCCAAAAATCCGGGGGTAGCGGGAGAGCAAGTTAGAGGACAGTAGGAAGAGGGAGACGGGAGGAGACAGATGCAGAGACAGAGAGACAGACAGATCAGAGACTGTGGAGATCTGAGGGTGGAGACAGCACAAGGAGCAGACTGGAGAATTTAGATCTGCGTCACAGCTCAGAGCAGAGAGAGAGGGAGAGGGAAGAGGGAGAGGGAGAGGGAGAGGGAGGAAGGGAGGGAGGGAGGAGAGAGGGAAGAGAGAGAGAAGAGGGAGGAGAGAAGAGGGAGAGAGGGAGAGGAGAGAGGGAGAAGGAGGGGGAGAGGGAGGAGAGGGAGGAGGAGAGGGAGGGGGAGAGGGAGAGAGAGAGAGAGAGAGAGAGAGAGAGAGACCTCATGAGTCTGAAGACCTGACCCAGCCGCAGCCTTGAAGGGAGGGAAGAGTCGGGGAGAAGGCTGGGGAAACGGATGCCTTCTAAATGTTTCCCGCCACGTTCCCCTGTGTCTTGTCCCCCTTACCATAGCCTTTGAAGAGCCAGTCAAAGGTGGCCTGCTCGCCACGCCCACTGAATTCCTCAGCTTGATCCACCAGAGCCTCCTTGACTGCTTCCTGCCCGCACAGTACCACAACTGGGCGAGGCCCCAGGTGGACGGTGAACACAGGACCATAGCGTTCCCTGATCTGATGGAGGTGGGTGAGCAAGGTTAGAGGAGAGAAGTCATACCTTGATGTCAGGTCTGGGATTCATTTTCTCTGGAGTTGTAACAGCTGTCCGATGGGATAGCCCAAGATGTGATCTGATCTCACACGCCTAGGAATTGGCTGCTGATTCTTCAAAATTCCCCCTGGCCTAAAATTACTCTCCCACCTGGTCAATACCCTACCACAAAGCCTCGATCAAAACTGGGCATCCCTCCGTGCTCCCATTCTACCCATCTCCTTGCCCTCTCCCACCTTCATGAGGGAGTTGTACATCTGCTCTGTGTTCAGCTGGAGGTAGTTCCCGATGAAGGGCAATGGGGTGGGTCCTGGAGGCATCTTCCCTGAGAGCTTCCTCTGCTTCCAGACAGACATCAAGACCATGACGACGAGGAAGGCCAGCACAGTCACCAGGAGCAGTCCGGAGGCCAGCATGGTTGCGATGAGCGTGACAGACAGGTGGTGATGGCTGAATTGGTTTGCTTTTATACAACCCGGTGTAGAAGGGTGGCCTTTGGTCCTGATTATGTAATTGTCTCATTTCACCTTCAAACTACCCCCTTTATTGTGCACCAAGTTTGGGACATAGCCAACAATCAAGGAGGAGGAGGAGGAGGAGGGCCGGGTGAGGGATTAACAGGGAGTAGACAGAATTTGTAACATCTAAGGAGGAAGTCCTCCAGGGCTATGCATTGCAGAGGAATAGGCCAGTAGACAGAACTGAATCCTTCATAACATTATTTATTTATTTATTTTTGGTTTTTCGAGACAGGGTTTCTCTGTGGCTTTGGAGGCTGCCCTGGAACTAGCTCTTGTAGACCAGGCTGGTCTCAAACTCACAGAGATCTGCCTGCCTCTGCCTCCCGAGTGCTGGGATTAAAGGCGTGCACCACCAACGCCCGGCACTTCATAACATTTATATTGGAGACTCTTCTGAGCTTTGGGTGTGTGTTCTCCTGGGAAGGGACCAAAATGATGTGACATTAGGGTCTTAGAAGAGAAGAATCTATTTCATTGGCTTGAAACAGGATGAAAGGCTATGAATTTGAAAGTCTGTTTTCTTCCTTGTTTGAGACAAGTTCTCACTATGTAGTCCTGGTGGGCCTGAAGCTCAATGTGCAGGCCACAGAGATCCACCTGGGTCTGACTCCTGAGTCCTGGGATTATAGGCCTACACCACCACACCCAACTCTTTCAATGGGGAGAGTTCTGAATTTAAGGAACTGAGACGGGGAGACTTCAGGGTTATGGGCTGTGGATCTCAAGGCAAGAGTGACTGTAGATGAGGAGTAGCAGGGAGAAGCATCCCAACAGGGTCCTGGAGTCAACATCTGCACCCAGGTGTGAAGATACTTTGGATTTGGCCCCAGGCTATGTCTTGATACTCAGAAGTCTTGGGGGAGTCTAGGCTAGATCTCCGGAACGAAGGATCTGGGAAAGGTGGGGAAGACCAGAGTCCTATTCCAATGGAAATTTGCACAGCACTAGAGACAACATCGTAGCATCACTGTCATCAGAGGTCTTGAGAAGTGACGCTGACAACCACCAATATGGTAGAAAAGTTCTAATTTGCAAACACGCTCCCCCATTCCTATCCAGCTCCTTAGCAAAGGCCACTAGGTTTACTGGCTCATTGCTGTTGTTAGGCACCCAAGTTACCTATTTTACAGATGGATGCACCCAGAAAAGCCTGCAAGGCAAAGGCATCCAAATCTACCTTAGCCTACATCTGCAGCTTTCTCTTTCTTGACTTCTTTCCCCACAGGTGGAAAGAGAGTGTGGAGGGGGGTCGTTATCGGGGTGTGTGGTAAGTGGGCTTATGCCTGCATTGCCAGGGGAAAGCAGGAAGAGGGAACAAAGGTGGAGAGACTTAGTTAAGCCCCCCAGCAAGCGGACAGGAGAGGACCCTGGGATGCTAAGGGTGGCCACAGAGAAGGGAAGAGTGGCCACTGTTCTCCCACATTGAAATTCTTCTATAATAATCAGGACAGTTACCTTTTAATGAACCTGTATCCCAGGGAATATTATTTAGATCCCATCTGTGGAATGCTAGTAACTACTGAGTTGTTACATCATCAGCCTCACTGAGATTGCCAAGATCATGAAGGAGCTGGAATCTGACCCCTCGTTTCTCTTCGTTGCCTAGCCCAGCTCATCCTGGCAGCTGTTTGGGGGCTGGGTGGGTGCTGAGATTGGGAGTTGCAGTGCTGAGATTGGGATTTGCAGTGGATAAAAGACAAAACACCGCAGTCGCTATGTCAGTGCAGACCCAGGATGGAGGAGGGTGAGGCTGGCATTGAGATTGTCCCCAGGAAGCACTAAGGCCAGAAAGAAGTTAGCATTGAACTTGACGCCAAGGGGACTTTAGTAGAATCACCTCTTAGGCTAAGAGGGACCTTCAAGTGGAGGCAGGCTGTCACTGGGATTGCCTGAATGAAGGCGTAAGTGTATCATCATACAGGCTCTGGGTTTGGCTCTGTCAGGTTCTGACACAAACACGAGGAACTTGCTGAGATTGGCCTCAGCTAGACCCTGGGAGGGGCCTCAGGTGGACACTGGCAGGTTTTGATGGATGGAGCATTCATGGTTGTACCCTAGCTTTAGACAGGTGGAGGTGGGTGAGGCTGGAACTCCCATGACTGGCATTTTGCTCATCTCCTTCTGGGCTGTTGGACTCTGAGGGGGGGGGACAAAGGGCAGAGAAGAAAGCTGAGAGGAAAGCTGTTTGTTGATTTTGGAGGAGGAAGAGGTGGGGAATGGGATTAGCGTAGGTTTGGCAGGTGGCAATCTCTACTTAATTTTTGTTACCAGCCTGCACCTGCGCCAGTCTCCAGCCTGGACCTCTCCTCTCCTCCTGTTTCGACTTGAATAGGAGGAAGGGAGCAATTTGGAGAGTTTGGTTCTCAGTGAAGGTGGCACCAGGAAAGACCCTGAGTGTTCAGGCAGGCTCCCATGATCTGTACAGGGGTTGGGCGTGGGGGTGGAAGGGCCAGAATGCGAACTGAGCTTGAAAAGCTCCAGAGAGATCAGGTGTATTTGCTCTTATTGATTTTTTTTTTTTGAGGGCACATGAATAATAGAGCAGAAACTGAAGTTATGTGGGAGAGACTCAGGCACGTGCGTGCGTGAGGGATTAGTGCCTGCAGTCACCTGGAGGAGACATGTGCAAGAGGCAGGCTTCCAGAGTGAGTTGGTGGCGGACACAGAAAAATCCCCTTTTGATGGGCCACAGTTTCCCTTCCTGGTTGAGTGGTTAAGAGCCACGGCAAGGTATGGAATGGGACCCTAACCTGGGCAGATACCACTTCCCCCCACCCCGTAATCCTCTCTGTTGTGTCCTTGAAGAGCTGACTTCATGGACAAACTGAGCTTTAGGGGCCCAAGGACTGAGTGCATGTACCTCTTGGCAGTAGTATATGAGTTAATGCATAAAACAACAAATACCAGATATTTTATATTTTATTCATTTTATTCATAGTTCCATTCATCTATAATAAAAAGGAGATGGATTGCTGTTATTCTAAACTTCAATCTGCCTTTTTTGCAATCTCTGGTTGTTTCGTTGTAGCCTAGAGAGTCCCGCCCTGGGTAAGGCCCTTGGTAGACGTTCTTCCCTGCCCTTGCCCCCCAGAGTCTCCATCCCACACCTTCCAGCAATATGAAAGATAGCCAGCAAGGAGACAATTTGCTGGTCAGTTCAAGACTGGTGTCTCTATGTCCTACAGCCGAAGTTGGTGCTGTCTTCAGCAATAGGGTCCTAACATCTAGTTATGGGGTGGGGGGGCAAGCGAGAGCAATGGCAGTTGCCCGTCTTGTTTTGAGTGTCTCCAGGACTGGAAGAGGGTATCTGAGAAATCTCCCTCCCCAATACTTCTTTACTGAGGCCAAACATGACTGCTCCTCCACCCCCTTGAGCTGCAAATAGGAAGTTTTTCCTGGAGGGCTGGTGCTCTATTGGGCAACTTCTGAGCAAGCATAGATTATCACTAGATGGTCAGACTCTTCTGGGTGGTGCTGATGCCTGCACAGGGCTTTGCCTTGCTGTCAATCATTCCTCCTCCCCTTAGATTATTCACTCCTCTTTTTCTTTCTCCTTACTGGCAAGTCATTGCTGTCCCCAAGAGTCCTCTGTGTTTATGGATGTCTCCATGTCATTATCATTTTGGTTAGTAAGCTATAACAGATGCTTCTGCCTTGCTTAGCTTTGTTTAGACATCCTTCTTTGTGTATCGTTTTTGAGTACATGTTTGGGGGTCTCTGTGCAAACGCATGGTGCAACATGTGTGTATGAGTTACTGTTCTGTTGCTTGATAAGACATCATGACAAATACAATGTGTAGAAATTTATTTGGGCTCACGGTTTCTGGGGAATAATAGTCCATTGCGGTGGAGAAGCATGGTAACTACAGGCAGGCAAAGTGGCCGTAGCAGGAGGCTGAGAGCTCAACTCTTTTTTTTTTTTAACTAGTTTATTTAAATTTATTTTATGTGCATTGGTGTGAAGGTGTTAGATCTCCTGGAACTGGAGTTACAGATAGTTGTGAACTGCCATGTGGGTGCTGGGAATTGAACCCGGTTCCTCTGGAAGAACAGCCAGTGCTCTTAACTGCTGAGCCATCATCTCTCCAGCCCGAGCTCAACTCTTGAACCCCAAGTACAAAGCAAAGAGAGCAAAGTGGAAGCGGTATGTGGTCTTTTAATATTAAATCCAAGACCCAGTGACATACTTCCCCCCGGTGAGACTGTACCACCTAAACCTCCTCCAACAGAGCCACCAAGGCTGGAGGACATTTTTCATTCAAATCACTACAATGGCCATGCCGATTGATTAATTTGTATCTGTACCAGTCTTAGCTGGATTCATGTGGGGACATATCTTAAATACATGCAGGCTTTAGAATGTGCCCATTGCAGCATGTCTACCATGTGCACGTTGTGTGCAAGGTGGTGCTTATCTCCGTATTAACACTTGTGTGAATGTATGTTCAAGTAGGTGACTGCTTATAACTTCAGTGGATATTTTTCTGTGGGTTATGGCAGACATTTGCAGCCACGTGGAGCCATATCGTGTAAAGGTGAGCAGTTGGTACCTGCACATTCTTGTCTGTGTTTATATTTAAACATAACCTTGGACCAGTTTCGTGTCTGCTCTTCAATAAATAAATAACACCCACATTTTCTTTTTTGAGTGTTTACCTCCTTTGATTTTTCAAGAGTTGAAATACTCCCATGGGACAGGTATGTCCTAGAACGCTTCCAAGACTCTTTACTTCCCACTGAATATATTCCGATATTCTCCCAAAGACTCTTTCCTAGGCTATGGCCTCCGTCTTTAAGCCAGTCAACATCTTCTTTTTTTTTAATTATTTATTTATTATGTATACAACATTCTGCTTCCACTAGAAGAGGGCACCAGATTTCATAAAGGATGGTTG